AGTAGGTGGTCATGTGCAGACAGGGACTGTGCACCCCTCCTTCACACTGTACCCCATAGTCACTAACCATACAGCTGTAAGGAGTCTAGAAGAAGATGGGCAAGAAAATTTTCTTGACTTTGGAGTAAGCAGATTGCTTAGAATGTGAAGAACATTAGTCACAAAATAAGTAAGTTGTACTTCATTAAAAATTTTACTTTCTTCTAAAGACACCAACAAGAAAAAAAGGCCATAAACTGAGAAAGCGTTCACAGCACTACATACGAGGTAGGACTTGTATCCAGAACATAAACCCGTATAGCTCAGGAAGAAGACACACTCCCCAGTTACAAAAAGGACCACGGGATTGGAACAGACATTTCATAGGAGACACTGAATGGTCAGGACCCACAGCATCCTCCTTGGTTATCAGGTACAAGTGCACACTGACCCACAAGACGCCCCCGTACTCCCTGGAGTGGCTGAAATTTTCCAAGTCTGGCCATCTAGGTGTTACCAAGGATACGGACAACTAACGCCCTCCTAACGGCTGGTGAGAATAAAAAGTGACACAACCGCTTTGGAAACTAGTTTTATGCTTTCGCAGTTACACACATACCTTGTAGCTTGACAGTTCCCAACCTCCGTGGTCACCTGGGAGCAATGTGATGGCATGTCCGCAGAGACACTTTATGGGTGTGCAGAGGCACTTTTCCTGCAGTAGCCCAGACTGGAGGTGATGCAGGTGTCCAGCAGGAGGGTGGGTTAGCACATGGTGATGTGTCCGTGTAAGGGTGAATTGCTAGGCGGTACAAAGAGCAGACTATTGGGAGATGCAACAACATGGATTCATCTCCAGAGCAAATTGTGCCGAGCAAAAGCAAAGCAGCCAGGCACAAAAAGGCAAGCTGTACAGTCCCTTGAAGTTCTAGAATAATTTTCTGTAGGGACAGAAAACAGCTTGGTGTATGCCTGCAGTAATGCTAGACAGGTAGAGCTGACACTGACTTAAGCAAAGGAGCTCTGGTGGTACAGAGATCCTTTGTCTTGGGTGGAGTTTATCTGAGTGTGTACTTTGTCAAACCCATCAGCACAGTTGAGATGAGTGTAGGGAACTATTGAACTGAGATGTATATAAGTTACACCTCAGTGAAGTGGGTTTGAAAGAAGGCAGGTAGTTAGGGGGTTAAGGGTGAGATGGGTAGTGAATAGCAGCTAGAAACTTAACCACGAGAACCCTCAACTTTAAATGGTAACTATTAGCAGCTTAAGAAAAATGGTATACACGTATCCCCTGCTTTCTGAAAGTTCACATTAGGTCTTGTATGAAAGACATGCTGTCCTGCCCATTTTCACCAACTGAAAGACAAGCAGAAGAGCTTGGCATCGGTTTTGCGGCGAGCTGTGACAGAGACAGCATGCCCTCGGAGCGCCTTCGCACTCTCAGCATCATGGTGTCCAGCCCCCAGAGTCCTGAACTGTGCGAGTATCTGGGCTTCACCTTGATTGATTTTGCACATCTGTTAAGGTGTATTCTAAGCTATCAAAAGCCTGAGGTGTGATTTTTTGGGGGGCCTAGGAATGTCAAAAAATGTTCCCATACCAATTAGTGGTATTTGCTTTTTTGCTTTCTGCTGTTTGGGCTAAGGAACACGACTTTTGGGTAGAGGGAAAACCCATATTGGGAAAAGGCCAATGTACCTAACTTGTAAGTCAGACTGTTGAGAAGGCATTGTTTTTAAAACTGTGGCTTATTTCTAAGGAAATAAATTTTACAAAATGATCACATGCAAATGAAAAACTACAAATGTTGGGGCACGCGGGTGGTGCAGTTGATCAAGCATCAGACTCATGGTTTCGGCTCAGGTCGTGATCTCAGGATCATGAGATCGAGCCTGGCATCAGGCTCCAGGCTCAGCTTCAGATTCTCTGCATCTGCCCCCCCCCCCACGTGTACACCCTCTCTCTGTCAAATAAATAAAATCTTAAAAAAGAAAAAGAACTTCAGATGTTTGGGTGGCAATCTGCAGGAAATTTTAAAATTACAAGTATGTTTTTGTTTTTTTTTAAATTTAACTTTTTTTTTTTTTTTTTTTTTTTTTTTTTTTTTTTTTTTAATTTTATTTGCTTATGTGAGAGAGAGAGAGATCGCAAGTAGGCAGAGAGGCAGGCAGAGAGTGCGGGGGAAGCAGGCTCCCTGCCTGGCAGAGAGCCCGATGCGGGGCTCAATCCCAGGACCCTGAGATCGTGACCTGGGCCAAAGGCAGAGGCTTAACCCACTGAGCCACCCAGGCGCCCTGACAAGTATGTTTTTTAAAGATCCCAAGGACAGAGGCAAGGTGGCAGGCCAGTTGCTTGTGAGGGACCTTGATGCTGCTGAAGTCTGATCAACTGGTCACATAGTTGGTGATAGTTTATATCAAGTGTCCAGCCTCCCACAGTGATGATGTGAGGTGGGTTTTGGCTCCATTCACAAGAAATGCGAGATTAAAAATATAAAGCTTATTGCCAAAATACGTTACCTGGTAGAACCATAGGTCAGTTAATGTGACCAAATTCACGAGCGGGTTATAGAGTGAACACTCGGAGAACTTGGGAACTAAGCTAAGAAGATGGAAACTCCCTTCTGGCGAAAATACACTGGCGTCATTGTAGGTTCATGGGTTCTGAAAATGCACACTCATGTTCAGGGGACTCCTACCTCAGGGCATGTGCGCGTGGGACAGTGGCTGCTCCAAGCTGCATGGGGCCCCCCTGAGCATCCTTTCCCTGTGAAATAGCACCTCTTTGTGCGGCTCTCCACTCTGAGGACCACTTAGGGTGCTGCCCTTCAGGGACCCTCTAAAATGGCCATGTTGCTCAGTGTTTGAGAGAGTACTGCCTTGTACTATTTAAAGTTGAAAAGTAAATGTGAAGGGGACCAGCCCCCCAGGTTAGAGAGCTTTTTGTTTTTGTTTTTTGTTTTACTGGTATTCCTGGATTGGCCTAAATTTGGGGGGTGAAGGAGTTTAGAAGCTCCTGGGACCCTGTGCCCTTCGGGATTGCAGAAGGCTGTTGTGAAATGTTGCTCACCTCCATCACCTGCGCGTATCTTCTTGTGGTGACGCCACCTTGTGCCCAGTGCTATATGTATTTCTCCCTAGTGGGTAAAAATATGAGCCGTTTTGTAAACCTGGAGTACCTCCCATCCAGTCAGCCTTTGCTGTCATCACTCGAACAGGACTGCTAGCTCAGGTGGCTGGTGCATCTTGTGCTGTGGGGCTTCCACTGCACATCTCCTCTTGAGTTCTTGTGCCTCTCACGTAAAGGCACCTGAGAAGCTCCTGTGGGATAGAGATGCTGGTGAAGGTGGATTCAAAAAGCTAGTCATTTAACAGAGATTTCAGCCCAAAAGCATCATGTTCTGAGTTCACGAGTTGATTATTTATAGATGTTGCCTGAAAGCCATTCCAAGTGAAGATACTTCTACCCTTTAAGTGAAGGTTTATAATTTAGAGTCAGCCATTGGAATACTAGCTGTTTTTTTTCAAAGAAGCTGTCTCTACTCCGACACTCTGCTGAGAGGTCTTCTGTGTCACGGTCCCTTTTAGCTTCATTGCCCACAGCTGTCATCACTTTGTTGGTGACAAAGTGACTTTGCTTACTTGTCCTCTCCCCCACTGGACTGCCAAGCTTCATGGGAGCAGGGATTTAGCTGTATCCCAGAGCCTGGACCTGTGCCAGGCACACAAAAGGACTGAGCACTTATTGGTGAAAATTCTCTCATTATGTGATAAAAATGTAAGGGGACATGGGTTAGGCAGTTTAAAAGGGTAATTTGGTGTGCTCATAGAGTTGTACCTGTTGAACCTGTAATTCTGGTTTTGTCTTTTTGACATTCCTTTCCATATATGAAAATTGCAATCTAGTTAAAGTCCAGCCCTAATTGTGTATGTTTACACATTTCAGATTCATTCTTCATTTTCCTGGAAATAATGATTTTTAAAATAGATGTGTGCCCCTTGCACGTGCTACGCAGGACTGAGCAGAGGGAGGTTCAGATCAAGGAGCCCTGGGCACAGTCAGGCACTTGGTTCAGAAGGACTTTTCTGGGCAGAACTCAGCCTTAGTTGATGGCCTGCATGGAGACGGTAGAATCTGCACGTACCTCCTTAGGTTGTAACACTTAACTTGAGCTGTCTTGCATCCTCCTGGAAATTAAGTTTCAAATACTCTACAAATATTACAGAACTCAAAACATCCTGAATTCAAGTATAATAGTAGTTGAGGAAGAATTCCTAACTCATTACATGCTCAAGTGAGTATGTGTTGTCTTAATTGGTCCTGTCACACTCAACAGTGTTGAGTGGGCAGGTTGCCTGACATGAGACCATCGCCGGTGGTGGGGCACGGAATGTGTGATAGCAGGAAAGGGGGAGCGGTGGCCTGCTCCTGCCCTGGTGACAGGAGGGAGAGATTGTGGGCTCCATTGTGGTCTCGGGCACGTGTTCTGTGTGTCCCACAGCTGGGCAAGCCAGAGTGCTGTTGACACTGTTCGATAGATTTGTTCAGTTGCCTGAAAATGTGGTAGCTTTGACAGCAAAAATCATAACTGGAAACCTAATCTGCATTTTATTTATTAAAAAAAATAAAGCTCCACCTCTAAAGTCCATCCCACACATTTTGTGAAGAACTAAGAGTGTGTTTCTGATCTTACCATGTGGGAATTCTGGAGACTCAAAGACCTGGATCCAGATCAAGGCCCTGATTTCAAATAAATGGCAATTCTTGATTAGATCTTTGTCTCCTAGGATACGAAGTACACATCTTTTCTCATCAAGGCCCTGCTCTGGATAGCTCTCCAAGCAGAGTCACCCGTTTCCCCATCAATGAAATGGGGAGAGTCATACCAAAGTGGTAGTGGTCAAATGGAGTGCAGATGAGGACGCGTGTGTGGTACTGAACCCTGTGCCACATCAACTCAGTAGATTACCTGTGTTGTGCGGCTCGTGTCCTGACAGTGTTTTCATTTTCATTGAAAGGTGAATCAGGTCTTGGAAAATCAACTCTCATAAACAGCCTGTTCCTGACTGACCTTTACCCAGAAAGAATCATCCCCGGAGCTGCAGGTATGGAAGCCCCGTGTGCTGTAGCTGGAGTTCTCTGTGTGGGAGCCGTGGAGAGCACGGGAATGGTCATTTTGCCTCAGCCATGTGGGTTGGTTCTGCTTTAAACACAAGGACCATGTTCTTTCTGTTGGGAAAGGTGCTGCCGCTGTAGGCCTTGATCTTGCTTATAGATTGCATGAATCCATAGGCCCAGCCTCTCCGTGTGTGTTCCCTTTTACTGTAGAAGGATAAGGAATAGTTTCTGCCTACAGTACATGTTTGAGGGTCACGGGAAAGTGTTCTGTCACGAAGAGAGTTCTCTGAGTAGCTGACCACTGTGGGAATAGGGTGTGCCCTCCCGGCGTGTTGTGGGAGCGTGGTGGGTTAGTGCACCCCATCGGAGCCTAGGACCCAGGCCGCCACACTGGGACCTAGAGCCCTCTTGTAAGTATCTCTGAATTCAGTTTTAAACAGTCATAAATTGTTCTCTTTGCATCAGCAGCAGGAGTCATAATTTTCAATATTGCCATTTTAACTCTCCTGAGCTGCTATTTAATCTTAGCTGCCAGGTGTTCTTGCCAGCTTGGGGCTCGCTTTACACAGTCCTGTTACCTCTGAAAACCTTCCTCCAAGAGGGGTAATGAAGTTCTGAGTCATTTATTAATAAGAAACTAACAGGTCATCTTTCCTCTTTGAAAACTGGTTGATTTTTAGGTACATTTTCTCATTAAGCTTGTTTTTCTAGAGAAAATTGAAAGAACTGTCCAGATTGAGGCTTCGACTGTGGAGATCGAGGAGCGAGGGGTCAAGCTGCGCCTGACAGTGGTGGACACGCCTGGCTACGGGGACGCCATCAACTGCAGGGATTGGTACGCCGCTCGGGGACACGGCTCCAGAAGTGCTTAGGGTTATTTGAATTCATTCACATTTACAGTGTCCAGGTGGTGATTGGGTTTGAGGTAGCTGTGTCTAATGAAGCAGTGGGACAGTTCAAAGTGCACTGATGATAACACTTTAAATGAGGACTCTCACAAAGAAAAAATTATTTTTCCTGTAAGAGCCAACCATTCATCAACTGCTCATATAAAGGAAACCCCCGGATCTGAATGAACCCTGGCCAGTGGAGAGGACTCTGATGTAGTCCTTCCTCTTAGAGACATGAACCTCAGCCTTGTGGCACAGGAGGAGAGCCGCAGACAGAAGGGCACTCGGCCTCATACCCTGCAGTGAGGCCCGCATCATGGTGGAAGCATCGGGCTCCTGTATTGTGGGGTGTAAAGCATGGTTGTGCCAGCAGCTGAGGGGGAAGGGAGAGGCTCTCCCATTCCCTTCCTTCCTCAGGAGTCGTGCCCTGCTCTGCATTGCTCCTTGTATCCTACTGCAGTGGTTCATAGTGTCACACACTGCCCCATCCTCTGTGCACTCACAGTCCTTGTGTGATCTGGCAGCCCTCTGCTCAGTCACCTCAGGTGCTTTCACTGCTTCTCTTCAGGCCTTGACACACACACATCCCCACCACCCGGCACTTGGGGGAAATTAAGCTTGGCGCACTTTCCAAAAACCTCCATCTTGCCGAATGTAGGAGCCTGTTTTCCAGTCCCATCTGTTGAGTGAGTTATCAAATTACATTTGGTAGGAGGCAGGGGACAGAAAAAAACTGGTTTTGTCTCTGAAGTTAGGAGCTCCCTGCCTTTTGTGTCCCATTGTTACTGCTATTTATGTTTCTCACAGTTTTAAGACCATCATCTCCTACATCGATGAGCAGTTTGAACGGTACCTGCATGACGAGAGTGGCTTGAACAGACGGCACATCATTGATAATAGAGTGCACTGCTGCTTTTACTTTATTTCGCCCTTTGGACACGGGTAAGTGGACCACTTACAGTAGAAACCAACAAGTTCTTAGAATTTCCTTTCTGCTTGGTGGGTTGACAGCTTCCCCCAAGTTGTGTATTTTAATACAAGAAGTGAGAGATAATTTTGAGAGAAAAGAAATGTGTGGTCTCCCTGTTCTTCCCCTGAATTTGTGACAGTCTCACTCCTTTCAGACTTAAGCCTTTAGACGTCGCATTTATGAAAGCAATACACAATAAGGTGAACATCGTGCCTGTCATTGCCAAAGCCGACACGCTCACCCTGAAGGAACGGGAGCGCTTGAAGAAGAGGGTATGTGTCTCACACTGAGGGTAGCTGAGGGCCAGGAGCCTGGGGAAGAGTGGATGTGTGTCAGAGATATGAGGGAGCAGGTGGGGAGTCTGATGGTTTTTAAGGAACACCGAACACCTGTAGATTTTTAATATTCTCACTGTTGTCAAGTTCTTATTCTCTGTAATTCCCCTTACATGAAACGCTTTCAGTGAGTAGAAGGGACGCCATGTGCTAGGTGAGTGATGTGGGTGTGGAAGTGTGATCATCTCTGTGAAGTTGTTAGTTGATCTAAACATTTTACTACAAACTGTCCGGTTAGGAATATGTTTTAATTGTAATCTGTTATTGTGACTGTTTAAATGGCCTCTGTTTTGGCCATTAAGAGGTTGCCTTGCACTTGTCCATTCACCAGCCCAAGTGCCCCTGGTCTCCCAGCAGCCGTGTGCTGGTTGTTCGTCTTTGGTGCCTTTTTCTATGTTATCCTAAAAGCCTCTTCGTGGATTCTTTGGTATATATTTTTTAATTATTTGCCTGTTTTCTATTTGTATGCTCATTAAGAAAGTCCAAGCTCATATGCTGAATTCTACAAATAAAAGTTCTTTCTTTCTTTCTTTTTTTGAGAGAGAGTATAAATAGGGATGTGGGTGGGGACAGAGGGAGGGAGACAGAGAATGGCAAGCAGGCCCCACACCCAGCGTGGAGCCTAACACAGAGCCTAACTCGATATCACAACCCTGAGATCATGACTTGAGCCGAAACCAAGAGTCTGACGCTTAACAGACTAAGCCACCCAGGCTCCCCTTTAATTATCTGTAAAAGCAGTGGTTGTTAACAGTTTCCTATGTACCCTTTCAAAACATAGTCTATTTATGTTTTTGTTTTTATAGAATGGGTCCATAGCGTGCATATTATACTGTCACTTGACTTTCTAAGAATTCCAGCATACATAGAAAACACTCCCCCGCACCCTTACACAGCTCAGATCAACGTACACACACACTCTCTCTCTATCTCGAATAAGAGCATTCCCAGCACACACAAAAATATTTCTTCAGTGTGTTTCTTGGTCCTTCCACCATCATCCCTCAATTCCTGGCATCAGGGGTCTTTGCTTAGCTTCCTTGTATATTCCAAGAGTCTAGAACAGTACCTGGCACAGAGTAGAGTAGGTATATGTCTGCCTTCTCAGAATTGTTTAAGTCAGATTCTTAGAAAGATATGGATGGGCATTTTAAGTATTTAAAGATGGACATTTAAAGTTTTAATTTCCCTAGGATGTCTGGGTGACTCAGTCATTAAGCGTGTGCCTTTGCCAGGACCCTAATTGAGGGTCCTGGGATCAAGTCCTGCATCAGGCTCCCTGCTCAGCAGGGAGCCCAACACTGGACTTGATCCCAGGACTGAGCCACCTAGGCAACCCTAAAAAAAAGTCTTTAAAAGAAAAAAATAAAGTCTGAATTTCCCTCAAAACAAGTTTGTAACACCTTACGTGCCCAAAGCAGTGTGAGCACTCTGCCCCCTGGCACACCTGGAACCATCCTAGATGTGTCACCAGTTTTTCTAAAATGTCTCCCATCTGAGAAACAGGAAGTGGCATCTGGTTTCCATTTGTGTTTCCCAGTTGCTGATGTGAGTGTGTTTGTGTCCTGCTGCTTGATCCCTGTTGGTATGCTTTCTGAGGCTTTAGAGCCTGTGCTTTGTTTTCATTGCCTTTTTTTTAAATTGATTTATGGGTCTATAAAAGTGAAACAGTGAAACACACTGTTTTCAGGCCTAGTTTTGATTTTTCTGTTTTTACAATTTTCTTGCTGTCTTCTGTCACGGCAGAGTTTTTCATTTGTATGCATGCATGTTTGTCAGCCTTTTCCTCTGTTGTCTGAGTGCCTGCCAGTCCTTTAGGAAATATCCAGGCCTTTGGGAGAGCCCCTGAAAGCTTTGACACGTTTATGCTGGACCATATGTATTTGAGTAGCTCCCACTTAGGGGAACTCAATCTTTTCTAATAAAGAATGTTATGCTGGATTTCAGAGAGGTAGGGGAGCAGGGACAGAGTTAGAATGTTGTGTCCTCCCATCTCTGATCCTATGTCCAGAACTCTAGGGCTTGATTTCAGTCTGAGATGAAGTGAAATCCCATTTTGCCCTTACTGCTTTCATTTTGGGTCTTCCTAATCCCTCCTCTTGATCTGGTTTCTCCCCTGTACCTCCTGGTACCTCCCTAGTCCCTGATCTAGAAAAACTTCTGGCAGACCTGCTTTGGTCTTATACTTCCCGGTATTGGTTCCTACCCTCTCCTTTATCTTGAACTCTGGCTCCCCATCAGCCAGCAGCAGCTGTCCCTCCACTTGGGCCTCAGCAGCGCGGTGTGCTGTGCTTTCAGAAGCTCAGCACTTGTCTTTCTGCCTGTTTCATTACCTGTCTTCCTAACCCCTGAATGTTGGCATGGTTTAATATTGTTTTTTTTCCCTTTTGAGAATCTTCTTTTTCATGTCTGTAAACAAGAGTCTCTTCTTCCCCCGCTCCTGAGCTTGTCTCCCAGCTTCCCTGGCCCTGTACCTGAGTTCATCTCTGGTGCAGTCGCCCATACAGAGAAATCTGTGATTGTTGTTGATTCATCACTTCCTTCTTCCTCTTTTCCAATTCAAAATAGCCTTTTTATTACGTATTTCTCCACTGGATTCTCATCCTCAGTGTACACCCTGTCTTGATGGGGCCAACATAGAGCAGATGGGCCAGCAGAGATGGGTAATGGGCAGGAAAAGGGAAGAAATACAGCAGGTTTATGCTTACTGCCTTCCTTCTCCCACGGGGGAGATCATTCCTCTGCCTCCACTAAGAATGGGGATGCTGGAAGGACTTTGGGAGGAGGGAGAAAGACCTCTTCGTGAATCCTGACTTTGTGCAGACAGTGTGTTAGGTTCGAGGTCTTTGATCAGAAAGACCTGAGAGTTCCCATTAAGAAGATCCATTGCCAGATTAGGGTCTAAAGTAGGGATATTTCTCCTGACTTGGCATATGTGCTTGTCCCTTGTGGCCCAGGACCCTACAGGAGGGTAAGGGGAGCTCTAGCCTGCCTATACCTGCTGGAGTGCCTGGCACAGAGGGCATTTCGTCCCCTCTAGGCCACTCTACGGCCTGGTTGGTTGAAGGGTGTGGTTCTTCTGCTGCCAGTTGTTGCCTGTTGAATAAAACCCAGAGCCCAGCCTGGTATTGGGTTGTCCTCTGGCTTACCCCACTGAGAGGCTTACTGTCCAGCCATCCCGGGTGTCTTACTGTGTCCTCTCCTAGGAGCCTTAAGCAAGATTATTCTGCTATGTGCCTCTTCCTCCTCTGTTGGCCTCCGGCGAAGCCTGTGGGTCTCTTGGTGCCTGTGGCCTCAGGCTGTGCTGCTCCCAGGGCATGTGTGGTTCCGGAGGTTGGCTGTGGTGTGTGATCGCCTCATCGCTGCTGTGCTGGCATTGGTTGTCTGCTGCTTTATACGCTGAAGCTGGTGCATTATTTTTGTTTACTCTGGACAGAGGAGTGCCTGAAAGGCCAGCATAAATACTGCTCCAGCAGTGTATAAAATTATTTGAAAACCAGTAATTGGTTTAATTCTGTATTGACAGTTGGATAATTCTGATAATATTTTTAATAGATTTGATTGAAATGTCATGTGGTTTTAAAATTGCTCCTGGTTTGTCATCCTTTCAGATTCTGGATGAAATTGAAGAACATAACATCAAAATCTATCACTTACCTGATGCAGAATCAGATGAAGATGAGGACTTTAAAGAGCAGACTAGACTTCTCAAGGTAAGAGTGCTCTCCAGATGCCTAACACGATTCAGTCCTGTGCCTGTCATCAGTGCTGTGGAAGGAGTTGATAGAGGGCCACCTTGTGGAAGGCTGGCCTTTCAGATTGTCTGGTAGATTCAGTTACAGTAGTATTTTTACTTTAAATATATTTTGACATAGCTGTCACCTAAAGTTTAGAAATGTTATTATGGGTTTAATTTGTTCCATATAATTTTTCCCATGTGGAAAATACTTGTCACTTCTGAGTAAAATGTTTTAGTTTGCCAAGGAAGCATGTAATAAGCAGCAGTGTGCTCAGCCCATGCCTGTGTTCTTGTGTTCGCAGTAGAAGCTGGGGTTACCTGTGTGGAGCCTCTCTACCTGGTGTGTCTCTTTCTAGGCCAGTATCCCATTCTCTGTGGTTGGATCCAATCAGTTGATTGAAGCCAAGGGCAAGAAGGTCAGAGGCCGCCTCTACCCATGGGGTGTTGTGGAGGTGGAGAACCCGGAGCACAACGACTTTCTGAAGCTGCGGACGATGCTCATGTAAGAACCCCGGGTGTCCCCGGGCGTCCCCCTTGCTTCCCTATACGTCCCCGTGTGTCCCCTGTGCATCCCCGGGCATCCCTGGGCATTCCCATGGGCAGTGTCGAGCACAGAGCGTGAAGCTTTTTGACTGTTGGGCATGCAGGGGCCGCTGCAGCCTGTTGCGGAAGGCCGTCCCTGGGAGCTCTCTGGGACTCACACTGCAGAACCCGCCTGTCCCTTTCGAGACCAAGTGCTTAGCACACCCTCCTCCCTAGTCTCCCAGCTCTCTTGACGCTGAAAGTAGACCAGATGTGCACTGTGGCATGGCCGCACCGAACATGGGACGTCTCCTGCTCTGGGGGCAGATATTCAGGCTGGCTGCACGGTGGCCTTTCCACCCTCGGCCGCCACACACGACCATTTCAGGTCCGCCCCGGGCAGCCCTGAGGTTCTTCCGTGTGTTCTTAGCACCTGCAACAGACCTAACTACAAAAGCAGATGTTTTCCTCTAAAAAGTGTTCATCTAAAAGTGACAGTAGTTGATGCTATTCTTGAATCAAGAGGCATGCAAAGAGTATTGCTGAAATCAAAGATCCCTTTACTGCATCAGAGAGTGGGTGATCTAGGTAAATTTTGAGTAACTGAAAATTGATTAAAACCACTAAGCTTTATCAACAATTCAGTCACCACATAGGAAGCTCAGGACGGGTTCTTGTGGTCACGCTGCTGTTGTGGAGGCTGCAGATGGAGCCTTCCTGTGCTTTGTATGTTTCTTAGAGCAAGCGAGAGCATGCCAGCCCTCTGCCTGCTCTCCATCCCTTTCCTCACGTTCTGAGCAGACGCAATATGTTACCTTTACTCATTCTTGGCTGCTTAAGTATTTGAAAAAGCTGAGCCAAGAAAATGATAAATGTTTTCTGAGATGATTAGAAGATTTAAAGTCCTGTTTCTGGTTTATTCAAAATATTCGTGCTTCATTGTATGGTCTTTTCCATAGCTTAAATTAATGAAGTCTTTAAGCTGGAGAATTCGATTATATGAATTGCATGTTTTCCCTAAGTTCTTTCAGAAAAGCATGTTCTGTTTCAGACATTGTTTACCTAGAATGATCTGCTAAAATCTTACCTGGGCACTGGTGATGGGCTCATGCAGAGCTTGGCAGCATCTGTGGGAGAGGCCACTTGGAAGGGTCTCCTCTCCTAGCCCTGTGGGCTGTGCTTCCACCTGTTTTGGGGGGAGGGAGGAGCGAAAGCTGCACAGCTTCAGCCCCATATCCCAGACTCCAGCAATTTTGTGTACGATTCAGCAAGTAACAAGTGGGGTTTTGACTAGTGGGGCTTCTCCGTGCCGACAGCTCCCACACACAGCCAGCCTTGCCGCGCCCTTCTCTCTTCCAGCACCCACATGCAGGATCTCCAGGAGGTGACTCAGGACCTTCACTATGAAAACTTCCGCTCTGAGAGGCTCAAGAGAGGCGGCAGGTTGTTTCCCCCACCTCATGGCTGTCCCCTTCTCTCCATACTGTGTCACAGATTCACCCTGTCCTGCTGGGCTTTCCTGACTCTAAGCAGCACAATTTGGTTTCCTACTCAGAAGCTATTACTAGGCATTTGTTGCTAATGTCATCTTACCTTGCTTTCTGTAACCTATCAAAGGTAACATGAACCATCGGCACTCAAAGAGCAGGTTTAGCTGGAAAGGCCAGAGATTGGTCTCAAGAACATCACCCTGTCTGTAAATGAGGGCAGACCTACCTGCCATTAAGAAAGTCAGCTCCAGAGCACCTGGGTGGCTCTGTTGGTTAAGCGACTGCCTTCAGCTCAGGTCATGATCCCAGAGTCTCCGGATCGAGTCCCACATTGGACTCCCAGCTCCATGGGGAGTCTGCCTCTCTCTGACCTTCTATCCCCTTCATGTTCTCTCTCACACTCTCTCTCAAATAAATAAATAAAATCTTTAAAAGAAAAAAGAAGGCAGCTCCACTCCTCAGAAATGCACACAGTGCCCTCACCTTTTCTCTTTCACCACTGTAATAGATTTTATTCAAGATCTGTGTTTTGTGACCTGATTTATGCCTGATCACATCCTATCTCTGCTTAGCTTACGTATCAAGTGATCTGTATCATTTATAATAAGAATTTTCTGTACAGTGGTTGCTCCCACACTCCTGATCCACAGGAATCCGTTCCAAGACCCCTAGTGGGTGCCTAGAACTGAGGAGGGTGCCGAAATTTATACGCACACCCCTATTTCCTGTACATACCTGTCTATGATAAAGTTTAATCTCTAAATTGGGCACACGTGAGGGATTAACAACCACAATAAAATGAAACCATTACAGCTGTAGCCTACCATCAGGGTTATATGAATGTGGTCTGACTCTCAAAACCTCTTCTTGCCCTGTACTCACCCCTTTTCCTGTGGTAATGTGTGGGGAGGGTCGGAGGCTCTGGGATACGGTGCTGGGATGCAGCGCTGGGCTACTGCTGACCTTCTGACTGCCCTTCAGGAGGGTCATGTGTGTCCAATCCACGGCCTGGCATGGGGCACAGTAATCGCAGATCCAGGGGGTGGCTGTGTTGTAATTTATTAAAATATTCACATTTTTGAAATCTGGTGGATTTGTGTATATATACAGGGTGTATGTTAAGGTTTGCTTAACCTTACCTGGGGACCAGGTATTAAGGTTTTAGAGGCCGATGTGGAAGGGAAATGTGCACTCATTAAGAGCTGTGTCCTCACCACTCAGGGCCTGCTCAGCGGGCCTCCCCCGCTGGCCTCCTCGACCTGGATGCTAAGGCCCTACTTCTTTTCAAGTGTCCTTGTCACAGTCTATGTCCATTAAGACCTGTCCATCCTCCCGATGGCAGCTGCCACTCTTCAAGTAAGGAAAGACCAGAGTGTCCCACCCCTGCTTGGAGTTAGAGAAGTTTCTCAAATTCACCATCTTGTGCTGTGTTTTTTCTCATCTTTCTTTCTTACTCATTCGTGTTAGAAAAGTGATAAACAGGTAATTTTAAATACTTTTCTCAGAAATGTAGAGTGAAATTTTACTTTGGGTATTTGTCATCAGAAATAACCAATTAAGTTTGTTACAATATTGAAATTGTAATTTCTTTCAACTCTTAGGAAAGTGGAAAACGAGGACATGAATAAAGACCAGATCCTGCTGGAGAAGGAAGCAGAGGTAAGGAGAGAAGGATATTGTTGGTGTACATCACAGATCATTACAGTTTTTCTTCCTTTTTTAAGAAGGAATATATTACATGTAATCTATTTTATTGTGTGTACATTTGTATAGTATAGATATTGCTTTACATATGTTATCATTTGATTTTCGGTAGCCATTTAGAAGGGAAAACCTGGGAATAGTGCAGATTTAGTGACTTTCGTCCCTAAAGCTTAGTGAATTTAGTAATTTAGTAGAGTACTCAAAATTCAGTAGTTTTTCTATAAATAGATAATAGATCTAGACAAGTTGGAAAATACAAAGAAAGAGACTGCCACTCATTAACAAAAATTTGAGAACTATGCAGGACTGATATGGAGAAGAAACTAGAAAATTCTCCTGGAAACAATTTTCAGAATTTAAATGGACACATGACTTTAAATTGCATGTTAATGACTTTAAATCACCCATTGCAAAGATCACAGTTCTCTCTAAACTGGATGCCATTCCTGCAGAGTGGTTTGGTTTGTGAAGTTCTTCTGGGGGAGAGCTTGCTGAAATAGTTCCAACGCTTGGTCTGGAGACCGGGAATGGAAAGCACAGGAGGCCCTGTGAACGCACACTGATGACGGAGGGTTAGCTCCACTGCTCATAGAAATCCAGTGTGTGGCTTGGGCATGATGGGCTGATGGAATTCACATCCAGAAATGGGTCTGAAGTATGGAAAAGTGTCTGCGAGAGGTGGCGTTGGGGTCTGTGGAATCCATACATATCCAGGAAACCCTCCAATGGGCCAGCCTTTGGAAACAAATAAGACTCACTACTTTGGAAAAATTAATTCAATATGGATTAAAGTACTTAAATGTTAAAAACATGACTACAAAGCTACTTAAGAAAATTCAGGTAAATATTTTATGACCACATGCCTGGAGGCCTTTCTAAACCAGTGGAAACCATAGTCACGAACAGTGGTGAAGGTAGTGGAGAAGAGCCATCCACCCGGTGAGCAGTGGGCGCCTTGTTGCCCCTTAAGACAAGTCCTAGGCCCAGTCCACATCTGGGATTGGCAGCCCCTTTCTCACCTTTTAGGTTAAAAAGCATCTTTTGTTATCCTGTCTTTCTTAATTCTTCAGTTTGCTGTTAATTTCTGTTTCTTAATTGAATTGAATTTTTATCATTTGCTTAGTTTTCTATTGAGTTATTTGTTCTTTTACTGATTTATAAGAGTCCTTCGTGTGCTCTTTGTCATGTTTTGAGAAAGCCTGGAAGTTGAAATTTTAGGAATCTCACGGCGCCGCCCCTAGAGGGTATCCAGGGAGGACTGGCCTTGGGAACCAGTAACGAGTCCCCATTTCCTGTCCCGTAGCTCCGCCGCATGCAGGAGATGATCGCCAGGATGCAGGCACAAATGCAGCTGCAGATGCAGGGTGGGGATGGCGACGGCGGGGCCCATGGGCACCATGTGTGAGGTAATGCGGGGATTGGAGGGGGGCAGACTGTGCTTCCAGATGACTCGTACCTCTCTGTTGTCTCACTAGTGTCTTGCATTTTGAAGTTCCTGGGTTTGACTCTCGCTGGCGTTCAAGGAGACCAGGCAGCTTCTAAAAAGTGGAAGTTCCTCCTCAGCTCTGCTTGTCTAGTGAAGATGTTAACGAAGACAAATATTAAAATAACCTTTATTAGTCATGCAGTTAGAAACTTACTACAGCTGAAAACAGAGTTTTGAAGGTGTTATTAAAGCAGATTATGCAGACCAAAGGTAAAGATGGCATAAAGCGGCAGATTAGGTCAGGTGGGCCAGGGACCTCGAGGGGGTTGCTGACTTCTGCTGTCACTGCAGTTCTCCACCCCACGACAGTCTGAGAGTCATGGCAGATGCCTGGCCCGTTGTGCGCTGGCCTCCCTGTTTGAAGGGAATCTGCAGACACCAGGGACCCTGGACCAGGAAAAAATAAGTGTCTCTTCCCCTCTGTCCTTTGGACAGGTGGGCATTCAGAGCTTTCTAGGTGACTGCTGTCCTTACCTTGCAGAGGAAGAGAGGTGAAGTCAAGTACAGGCCAGAGGAGAAAGCAGCTATGTGTGGTTGGGGCTGAGGCACACAGCTCCCTAGAAGAGAGATGCCTGGGGCTAGGCAGACTGAGTGGGTACTGGCCACAGGCCCAGATCTGGGGACGGGAAGCTGGGGTGCAGCTGCAGAGTCCACTACAGGTGGGGGCCTGACTGTAGAGGCAGGACAATGTACGTGGTAAGAGGAGGAGATTTGGGGACATGAGTGAACTGAGGCTTTGCCAACATGGGGCAGGATTGATGATACAGAAGGCAGGGAGCCCCGACCCTGGGACATCCATCAGGAGTCCCCCACGGCAGACATGCAGGTGATAGAGGAAGGAGCTGCAGGGGTGTGTGGGAGCATTGGCCACCAAAACAGCACCCTGCCCTTGGGGCTTATGGGGAAAGGTCTCAAATACATACGAAGCACACAAATGCATATGTTGGGTGTAACCAGTTACTGGAATGGGAATGTCCGTGTAACCCCCCCTCCTGGGCCAGAGTTGGTTGTTTATGTTCAGCATCATGTTAACACCTTAGAACAGTTGGAACAGTGTGTACTGAGTCCACATAGCACTGATGAGGACACTGTGGTGTGCCAGGGTTTTAAGTTATTTGCCTGTACACCTATAACCGGCGGAATGTCAGCACCGCCGACCCCATGAGGCTGAGGCTGCATGAGCAGGTTTGGTGCCTGATGGGGAAAGCCTGGTGAGTTAGAAAGAAATGGGATTTCTGAGCTGTGGAGCTCCTTTGAGGCAGGCGGGGTGTCAGATGTTTGCTCATCTCTGATCTTGCTGCCTCTCTAAATGTTAAAACTTTATGAAGTTATGAGGAATCAACTTTAGGTTTATACAACTGATTTATATTTTGCACACACTGCAGTTTGGTGGTGCTCCTGGTTCCCAGGAGATGTTTTGATTTAGTTAACTCTGGTCATAGGAGTCAACTTCTGCCCAGTTTGTGCCCTTTGTTACACAGAAAATGATGCTGTTAATGGTCATAGCAGTGAGCATTGCACCACTTGCGTTTAAACATGTTGTGTTTTTCCAGAAAACGCTTTGCAAGATACAGAAAACATTCCGCATGAGTTCTACAGCTGCGTGTTTCCGAGAGATCATTGGAAGGGTGCCCATCCACATTTTACAGTACCTGTGCCTGAGAATTTAATTTTTTTTTTAACTTTTGATGTGTTGTTTTGTATGAAGTACTTTTAACATTTGTATTTCGTTGCTATGTTATACTTTATATTTTGTGAGGTGAACCTTGCATTTTTCATTTTTCTTCCACCTTGACTAACCACTAATGTTGGAACTGATTTCCAGGATCAGTCAGTATATATAATTAACATTGAATTTCTTTGATTTGGCTGGCCTGACTAGTTGTTGAGGAGCACTCTTGATTTCATTTCTAGAACATTTGGACATAGCCAGCCTGTGCCTGGGTGCTAGCAATGTGGACCCAGTGATGTGGAAAGATGAGCTGGCATCTGCAGGGCACTCACCTGCCAGGTCACCAGGATGGCGCTTCTCCCTTGCTTCACTTTGCTTCGAGCACAATACCTAAAACCAGTTTTGCTGCTATAATTCAATACTGTTAATTCATCTGCACATTTGCTTTTTTACCAAGTAAAACAGAACTATTATCTAATACGGTATGTGTATACTTAAATAGCTCTTTTAAAAACAGGTAATCAGGGGCAAATTTTAAGAAGTCTTTGGCTTCTGATGCTAGGTCATTTTTTAAGCTGCTCTGCAGAGAACACCACAAGCCACGTTTCGTAGTGTTCCCCGCTGATACTGGTAATACTCCGCTATGTCATGAGTGTCCGTGAGCACCAGTTTTCATATTATGGCAGCGATTCTTACCCACACAGAGCCAATAAATTATTTTTACTCAACTAACATGAAAAGGAACTTTTTTAAGGAAAATTAATAAATGATATATTTAGAAACCAGCCTTTTTTATATTTTTCTATGGCACTCTCATGTGCTTTCTGTATCTATAGGTTTATAAGATCTGCCTCAGCAGTGAGAATCGGGGTCCTTTGGAGGGTAGCCCTCTGAACCCAGACCAGTCCTGGGCCCTGAGGCTCATGACCCCATAATGCCTGAATTCCGGGTTGGCTTTCTTTTAACTGGTTCTCTAAAAATTGTTAACAGTTTTCTGAAATGCAGATAGGAGCGATCATTTTTCTATGTGCAGACTGTTGTACATTTTCAGCTACCATCACACCCTTAGTTGTGTCGGGTGAGACTGAAAGACATTTCAAATCTGTGCCGTGGTGTAGGACTGTTCAGTGCCACCGGTCCAATTGGTTTTCTGTGGCCTTGGCCGCTCCCTTCCCTCCAAGGGGCACTAAGGGGCTCTGGGGCTTGCTTTTTTCAACATTTCTACTGACACTGGGAAACTGGTCCCCAGAAAGTGACAGGTGAAAGGACACCTGGAGGGAGCAGGTGTTGGCTCCGTGTTTTCATTTAGCTCTAATAGGAGGGACAGAGATGCAGAAAATGCTTCACCTGAAGATGGGAAGAGTTTTTTGCTTGGGCCAAAATAAAGTGACGTGGTCCAAACAGGTTAGTCACAGAGGCGGGCTACAGACAGTAATCGGGTGTTCTCAAGAATTTTGTCTTCTCATTGTTGCATGAAGAAGCCTTAGGTTCAGGTACAGTCATACAAAGGTCCATCAAGAGGAAACGTAAAGTGTTTGATGACTTTAGAGCACCTCCGTGTGAGGCCAGCTATCTGGGTTACGTTGGCATTAAGTACACTAGGAAAAGCCATTTAAAAGGTGGTGCTGGGGGCACAGTTGTGCGTGGTGGCTGCAGCCCCCCTTCCCCCCAAGTTTGCAAGAACTGCTAGGGCCAGCCGTTAGTCACATGATAAGGGCTATTTGGGTGGGCAGACCTATATCCTCTCGCGTCTATGGCCCCCTCTGTTTTGCTGCCCAAATCTAAATACAAACTTTCACTTAGAGATAATTGTTTTACTAAGGGGTAATCTTTACCTATAGAAATGTATTTTGAAAACTTATTTCACACAGCAATTTTGTATCCATTGAAACTAACCTTTTATCAATAAAGCACTGTTGTTTGGCTATTAAGTGAGGAGTTATTACTGGTTCTTTATGAAGGTGTGAAGTCTGCTCAGAAAGGGTCAAAGCCCTGCAGAATGTCTATGCATAAGATCAGGAGGAATTATTGGCACCCATAACCTCAGTACCCAACTTTGTATTGGTGATCCCAGCCCAGAAGAGCGAGCCATAAAGACTAGGGAGAAATTAATAACAGGTGATCTGATCATCTACTTAAAGTGAGAGGATGTGTGCTAAAAGTTAGCATTAATAAGAGTTCAGTGATGTCTACTCACAAATTAGAAAACGGAGCTAGAAAAGGGATCTCAGTCACTGTAGCAGTAACTAAATACCTAGAAATATAAATGACTGGAATAGATGCAGGAAATTCTATTCTAAACATATTTTTTTAAGATTTTATTCATTTATTTGACAGAGGGAGATACAGCGAGAGAGAGAACACAAGCAGGGAGTGGGAGATGGGAAAGCTGACTCCCAGCAGAGCAGGGAGCCCGATGTGGGCCTCAGTCCCAGAACCCTGAGATCACGAGCTGAGCCAAAGGCAAACGCTTAACAACTAAGCCACCCAGGCGCCCCTACTCTAAATATTTCTAAGAAAAGATGACTATGGAGAGCTCTACAGCTTACTAGAGGACACTGTTTACACCAGGACTACCAAGTCTGGTCTGGGTGGCTGGATGGCCCTTGGGCTAGCCCACACCACTGAGCACCCGAGGCCCCACCAGTGCTGCTTGAAGCACCTTCTCTCTGGTCTCACACCTTGTACTCTCCTGTTGGGTGCCGGCAGAGGCCCTGCATCCTCCAGGGAGTCCCCTACCCCTCTGACCAGGCTCTCTCCTGGCCCCCACTGGCCCTGCCCACCTTTGTCAGCACGGGGGAGGTCAGTCTACCCCTGAGATGTGTGTGCAGCCCTGTGGGCTGTGAAAACAGTCCACTGGACTCTCACGGGGCTGGGGACCATTTAAAGGAAAGGCCTTAAGGAGTGATGGGGGTCATGGGGACAGGAGGTGGAGGGACCTCTGTGCAAGGCTGAGCCCTTCAACCATGTGCCTGCCAGGCTGGCTCCCTGCTGAGCCTCAGACCCTGAGGCTACCCTGTAGGGAGGGTCAGCTTTTGGAGCCTCCTCTTTTAGGAAATGTGATGAGTCCGGCCAAGCCCAGGAGGTGAAACTCCTAAGAGGGGTCCCCCTCAAGGATGAGCCCAGGTCCATCCTACATTTATCCCCTCGAGGGCAGCGCAGGGCAGGACCCGCCCCTGCGGGCCAGTTGGGTAGGATCTTGAAGGATGCGTAGGAATTCACTGAACCCTTTGAAGAAGGGGTGTGTGCTCCTGGTGGTCGCGGGCATGGGAGGCCCAGGAGTAGTGTCATATTTCCGTTCCCGGGTGGGGGGTCGTGAGGCTAAAGGGACCACAAGGCTGAGAGGATCATAGGCCTCCCCCACGAGGCCAGTCTCCACTGCACCATAGCCTTGCTGGGCCGTCAGGAGGCCCCAGGAGTGCAATAAGGGTAGACTCGGGTGGCTGGCGGGGTGGCTGGCGGGCGGGGGCCGGGAGGAGAGGGGCAGCGCGGAGAGGGGCCGCGCCCGGAACCGCCCCCAGCCCGGCGAGCCAAACCCTGGTCCTCAGGCCGAAACTCCGCCCAAGGCTGAAGCCAACCTCCGGAGCCGAGCACCGCCCCACGAGGTGCGTCTCTGCTGATTGGCATTCGACTCCTCCAGTCCCCTCTCGCCCCTCCTCCTTCCAGTGCATTCACCAATCATAATTCTGTGCCGCGCCGCAGGGCCGCGGGCCGTAGAGACCCCGCCCCAGAGGCTCGCAGGCCAATCGGCAGCGCGTCCGCGGGGGTGGAGGCGGGCCCAGGCGGGGCACGCGGCGCGGGGCGGGGCTTGCGGCGCGGAGGCGGCCCGCGGACAGTCGGGCGCGGCGGTCGGGAGCGGGAGGAGCTGGCGCAACCCGAAGGCCGCTGCGGGCGACGGCGCGGGCCGGGTCGGCGGGTGAGGACGCAGGGCCCAGGGAGCGCGAGGGTGGCGGGCCGAGGCCGGACTGGCACTGAGGCCCGCGGCGGCCGGGCGCCTCAAGACAGTGGTCCACCCGCGGAGTCCGCGCCCGGGCTCCGGAGGCCTTCCAGTAGGCTGGCGGGGCCCGTGAGTGCGGAGCCTGCCGCCGGCGGCAGCGTGCAGGCCCAAGGGCGGGCCAGACAGGGTCTCGCGTGGAGGCCCGGGGAGGGGTCGCGGTGGGGGCGGCCCCGGGGGCGTCCCGGGTGGGGGCCGGGGGGGGGGGGGTCGGGCCGGGGGGCGTCCTGCGTGGAAGCTGGGTGAGGGGGTCGGCCACAGGGGCCGTCCCTCGAGGAGCCCTGAGGGGGTGGAGTCTGGGGTGGGTCGGCGGCGGGGGGAGGAGGCGTCTGCCGTGGAGCCCCGGGGGAGGGTCCGGAAAGGTCCTGCTTGGAGGCCTTGGAGTGTCCCCCTGGGGAGCGTCCCGCGTGGAGGCCCACGCAGAGCCACAGGTGGAAGCTCAGACTGGTTGGGACCACACCCTTCTTGGCCTTCACGTCAATTGTATCTTAAAGGTGGGGATGAGGTGTTAATGTTTTTAGTCCACTAAGGTCTAGAAATAATCCTAAGGCATTGGGGAGGCATCCGAAGTTAAATTGAGACCAGAATATGGCCTAGTGCATCCCACAAGCACTTTTTCCATTTATGCTGATGGCCACAGCCTCCAGTGGCCTCTCAGGTGCTAGTCAGTAGTGGCTGGGAAAAACAGAAATTCAATCTTGTGTGGAAGGAAATAATGTCAGTACATAGTGTAAGGAGACGATGGAAAGATTTAAAACCCGGGGCTAAATCTTTAAAGGGTGGTTTTTCTTTCTCCATCTGTTTTGTTTCCATGAGGTCGTCTTGCCTGGACTGCTGTGGATAGTTTGATAGCCATCTGGTGGCGTTGGGTTAGAGTATTGGTTTCGTGCAGACTGTGTAAGGACAGACAGCACAGATTTTCTCTCTGCCAGAGAGATGGGACAAGACGTTTGAGGTAGGAAGGCATGGAGTAACCTTTGCTTGTGGACCAAATATGACTGATTTTGTGCATCCGCTGTTTGTGGGACATGTGTGAGTCCCTGTACAGCAAAAGGGAGAATTCTGTGTTAGGGGTCGTGAGGAGCTTCATGCTGGTGATTTTATTTGGTTCTCTCCCAGTCTGGGAAGGAGACCTGGCCAGGTCTCACTGCCCTGTGTGAAAGCAGAGGAAGTGGAGGGACCGGTTTGGGGTCACACCCTGGCTGTGCTGCTTCTGTGTCTGCCTTACTGCAGACTCTCAGTGCCCTGTTGGCTCTGAGCTGTCCAGACTAGATGCTGACGTGCTATTTCCCCAACTACCAGTTTACTGGTGCGCTTATATGCGGGGCCTGCCTTTCAGAGTAGACTTCCAGGGTCCTTCTGTACTAATTCATTTCCCAAAAAAGGAAGCGTATGTGATCTAGTCATTTGTCTCTGTTCCATACTGATAAAGTGGGGTTAAAATTTAGCTACCTCATATGGTGGTTGTGAGGACTCAGTGTCTATAGATGAGCTGTTTGTAGGTGTCTAGCACACAACAAATGCTTAATGAACATTAACCACTGCATCATCAGGTGGAAGAACAACCTGAGCACACCATAGAGCCAAGTGGGCAGGATTCAGGCAGGGTTACACTGCTTTGGGGGAAAGATAGGACCTGACTGGCAAAATGAAGTTTGATAAGAGTAGAAGCTTAATGCCTTCTGTCCACACAGCCTGGCTTCTGGTCACCTCAGTACCTCCTAAGTAGTCAGACAGTAACAGTTCTCTTTATGCTGCTTTTCAGTTTTGTTCTGTTTTTCCTTTACCCACTTTCTTATCAGCTTACTGTCTGCCCCTTTCACTCAGTGGGTCGTGAGCGTCCTACATGCAGCAGTGGTGGTGAGCATGCAGGAAAGCCCACTATAAAGTTGAGTGTCCAGGTGAGGTCACTTGGGTCGTGCTCTGAGATCTGAGTGTCCGGGGCATCAGGGGATTGTGGTGTATTTTTCTACTCCAGGTTTTACCTTGGCAACAGGGAGTCAAAAAAGTAGGAGTTACACAGAACTTAATATGAGAAAGCCCAGTGTTTGGTGGGTTTCCGGGGATTGTTACACTGGTGGTGATTCTGTAAATTGGTCTGCTCTTTCTGGGGATCAACTAGCAGTATATGGTAAAGATTTTCATTTTTCCCAGTTTTGAAAACAAACTCTGATATGCAGTTCCTGTCAGTAGAGTCATGATAGAGTACTCCACAACCAGTAAACATGCTCTGGCAATCCTGTTCCTGTCCTTCCCTCTACACAAAATTTCGAACATTTGATCTATGGAAATCTGTTCAAAAACATGCCTTAACCAAAAAGGCGAAAGCAGGGTACACAGCGGTTATACTATTGTAACATCTGTGAAGACGTGGACAAGGATGAGAAGGGATGTTAGTCATATAAGTAGTTTTATTTTAGGGTTCCCCCCCACAAACTGGTGTTTTAATTTATAGTCATTTTGAAAAGCAAAAATCAGAAGGTACTTTAATATAGAATGTGGTGATGACTCTCCCAGCTGCAGGACAGAAGAGAACATTCTATGTTATAGTACCTTTTTATTTTTTTACTTTTCAGAATGACTATAAATTAAAATACCAGTTTGTGTGTGGTGGGGGGTGGGAGGCGGAGCAATCCCATGACACTAGAATACACTGAGAGGAGATAGCACACCGTGGAGTCAGGGTCGGGTTGAGGCCTCCTGTAGAGCTGAGTACTGTCATTAAGTCACTAACCTTTCTGAGGCAGAGTCTTTGATTTGTGTGATGGGGGTCATGAGGATTGAATGAGATGATGTTGGCAAGGGTGTGGTGTGGCCTCCTAGCAGTGGCCATCCCTTGGGACTCTGTGGCTCTTGCAGTAGTATGCTCCAGGAGAGTCTTTAGGCCTGACACAGATGCCCTCTTGTGGAGGCCTTCTCCCTTTCTTGCCACCCACC